TGATATTTATGTTCGATAAACAAAAAGCAGATATATCTGAAAATAAATGATCGTAGTATATGTGTATAATTCCTAAAATATATTATAAAAATGTTAGGATATTAATTACAAGTAAATTTAACATGCACAGATACAAAATATTATATTTTGTAGTCATCTTGGTTCTGAGGAAATTAGCGTAAATTCGTGTTAACTTTTGTGTTACTAGAAATTATTACTGGCCTACTATACACATTGGCATTAATTAACAAAGAAATTCATTATGCTGGAAGCTGTTATCTTGTGACTACAGTGCCGTGCAAAAGTATTCACCCCTACCAGTAATGTCACATTTTGATGAAATATAAATAATGTAAAAAAATTGTTAATGAATTTGTTTCTATTCAATACTGTAATGATTAAACTTAACAGTGTTTTGTGTGAAGGAGGTTGGATGTCAGCAAAACCTACAAAGCAAATATATAAATTGAAATTTGCTGATTGCATAGTATTCAGCCCCTAAGTCAGTACTTGGTGGAAGCACCTTTGGCAGCAATTACTGATGTGAGTATTTTTGGATAGGTCTCTACCAGCTTTTCACAATGGGATGGTGTCAATTTTGCCCATTCTTTCTGGCAAAATTGCTCCAATTCTGACAAGTTCGTTGAGGATTGTTGATGGACTGCAATCTTCAAATCTCACCGTAAATTTTTTATTGGATTCAAATCAGGACTTTGACTGGGCCACTCTAAGACATTCACTTTCTTCTTTTGAATCCACTCCATTGTGTCTTTGGCCTTGTATTTGGGTCCTGCAAAAATGTGAATTTTCAACCCAGTTTTAGATTCTTGGCTGACTCTAGCAGGTTTTTTCTAGTATTCTCCTGTACTTTGCACCATCCATCTTCCCCTCAAACGTGACAAGCCTTTCAGTCCCTGCTGATGAGAAGCATCCTCATATGATGCTGCCACCATCATGCTTGACAGTTGGGATAGTGTTGACTGGTTGATGTGCTGTGTTGAGCTTGCGCTAGACGTAACGCTTTGAATTCAGACCAAAAAGCTCAATCTTTGTCTAGTCTGACCACAAAACCTTCCGCCACATGTCTGCAATATCATTTACATGCTTTATTTCAAATTCTTTACGAGATTTAAGATGATTCTTTTTCAGCAATGACTTCTTTCTTGCCACTTGCCCATACAGGCCATCTTGTGTAGGGACCGGAATATTGTCGATGTATGAATATTGTCTCCCATCTCAGACATAGAACTTTGCAAATCTTTCAAAGTCACTGTTGGCTTCACAGTGGCATCCATAACCAGTTTCCTGCTTGTCTGGCTGTTTAGTTTGGAAAGGCAGCCTGATCTGGGTAGTATGAAGCACATTACACTTCTTAATGATGGACTTCACCGTACTCAAAGGAATAATCAGCGACTTTGAAATTTTCTTGTAACCTTCTTCTGATCTGTGATTCTCTACCACTTTATCCCTGACTTGTTTGTAAAGCTCCTTGGTCTTGAAGGTTGGTTTGACATATCACTATGTGAGTTGGGCTTGAGCAAATGCATTTACTCTGAAGTCAAGTTAAACCACTTTGATTACACACGGATAGATACCATTACACATTTTGTGACCTTTCAAAATAATATTTTGAACTTGAACTGATTTAGGGTTGCCGTAGCAAAAGGGTTGAATACTTATGCAATTGAGAATATTCTAATTTTCTTTGAAAATCTAACTTATTTACATAATATCAGCGTGTTTTAGCTTTCTCAGCTTGGAGTAGATTGTGTCCTATTTGAAAGTTTCGTGATTGCAAGCTCAGACGGCAACAAAATATGGAAACTTTGCAGGGGGGGGGGTGAATATTTTTACAAGCCACTGTATGTTCACTAATGAAACTTATGGATCTTTCATATGTAGATTTTTAAGGTAGCTTGATATTGAGCATTCGTGACTATTTTAGTTATGTCAAATTGACTAGCTTGGCGTGACTTAGCGATTAGCGTACTGGGCTGAGAATCGAAAGATCCTAAGCTAGAACTGAGACATAACTCTAAATACGTTCCGCATTTTCAGTTGTAAGCCTGATATTCAATTTTGTTATTCGTTTAACAACATTTGCTCATTAGTTGCGTTCATTTTGATTACCTGTTCTAAATTCTAAATTCCAGATCGAGATTTAGTACCTGATCGTGGTTACAGTTACTGGTGTAAGACAATGTACTTTTCTAAAGCGCAAACACAGACATTTTTGTACATTCGTAAATGACAGAAAAACAGAAAAAAGTTACTGTTCTAACTTGATAACATGATCTACTGTTGACCACTATTCCAACTTGGCAACATAACTTACACTGTTGACCACTATTCCAACTTGATGACATAATCTACATTGCTGACCACTATTCCAGCTTGATGACATAATCTACATTGTTGACCACTGTTGATGACACAATATACATTGTTGACCACTATTCCAGCTTGATGACATAATCTACATTGTTGACGACTATTCCAGCTTGATGACATAATCTACATTGTTGACCACTATTCCAGCTTGATGACACAATATACATTGTTGACCACTATTAGAATAAAATAGAGGAGTTTTAAAGTTTGTAAAACTTATTGCTACAATACATTTCTGGATATGTTGTATATTTGATGGGAGTATAACACATCTAAATTAATAAGACACGCTTAAATAAGTTGAGACTAAACCTGTGCTGATTACATTAACTAACCAGTAAGTTAAAACTAAACTGTGAAATTTATGTATACTAAAATAACTATCAGAATTTTTTCTTAATAGAAAAACCACTCAAAAGCCCAGCGCTAGGTATTTTTAGTTAAGCTTTCAATTTACTCTTCCCCTTTAATTTTACTTTCAATGATGCAGTAAGATAGCTAACCCGAATTATTTAGTTGTTACGTTCCTCCGTTCTCCGATTGCTTCATTAAAGCCTAAATGCATTAGAACTTAAAAACCAAAAACGCTAGGTGTCACTATGAATTGTAGATGGATTTTGTTGGTGGTGGGGGGGGGGGGACATGGAGTAGGATCTATCGCCCATGTTTGGATTTCTTTTTCACAATAGGTTAAGTGAAGAATGTAATATGCTTGGATAAATTTTTACATTGTACACACCTCTTTGACAGGATTTTTTCTATCAATTTTATCGGTTTAGCGATGTGTTCTACCATTTTGAAAATATACATCCGGAGGAAAGCAATGTGTTCATAAGCTCAGTTACGCCTACAGTTCCAATCGAATGGTGTGAATCAAACTGCACAACGAGAAATTTGATAACGACTAGTTCAGCATTAGTGAAGCAATCGGAGACCAGCGGAATGTTACGACTGGATTAATATTCGCGTTACAAAATCGTAAGACTACAAATCAAATCAACTATATTAAAACCCAGGAGAATGTTACAGTAACAGTTAAAACATTCCTCCCGTGTTAGTTCAAAATTTTACAATTTTGAAAGTTTTCTTTTTTTTTGCTTTCATTGAAGTGAAGTCACAAACTGTCGCTTAGATCCAACTTTTGTGTAATTTCATGATCGATCAAAATTACTACCAGACCAACCAGATTTTTTTTTTGTCATGGCTGATCTTATCTTAGACAAGTTTTAACTAATTTGCGTTTGGATATTTTCTTTCTCCAATCGCAACGGTGATAGGCAAGGTCAGCATAATCCTTAGTGCGAAAAAATGGTGGGAAACGACGATACTAAACTCTTCTTTTGCACATTCGAGTATTCAGGGTCATTTTAGTCACTCTCCGTTAGAAGACTTGCTTTTGTTTGTTGTTAAGCACAAGGCTACATGATGGGCTACCTGAAACTCTTAACTTTCGCGTTAAAAGCCCTAAGACTTTCTGCTACGCCATTGAGAGGCGAAAATGCCTGCAATTTGTCGTACAGTTTCTTTTTGCACCCTCATCAGTTGCCTTGCCATCTGATAAGCTGACTTGGGAATCAAAAAAATTGTTTCAATAAGTACCGTGAGAGTATTTTTGACAAGTTAGCAAGCAGTACAGAAAAGTGAGCAATGAGTTGTGTCTTTGTAGTTGCTGAAACCTCTGTTTTAATAGAACAATCAGACTTGCAGATTTACTGTGGATTAAGGACTAATTCATCTCAAATGGCGTATGAAAACTTTTCTTTCTTGAAAGGATATGTTGTTCTTGCCAACATTTTCCAGTGATTTTTATTTATTCTGCAAACTACCTTATTTCCTGTTCCCCGGTGAATCAACGGTAAATTTAAGGACTTACAACGCTAGATTTTGGAGTTCGATTTCACCCAGTAGACAGAGCGCACACATCCCATTGTTTTGCTTTGCGTTAAAACAGTAACAAAGACTCTTGTGTCCAAAAATGCCTTTTCAAAGCACTTATTCAGTTCGCCAGATATATAATTTTCCAATCAGGTATCACAAGTCAATTTGATAGAAACTATCGACATATTAGTCTAAAAAGAAAATCACTGTTTTCATTAATTTGGAATAAACAAATGTAAGGTTGTTTTTGTGCTTTTGGTTGTTACAGGCTTTTTTTTTTTATCAAATCATTAATATCCATATAGAAAGTTCATTTTCAATAAGAAAAATTTATATGTAAATACTTGCTCATGATATTTTCAAACGAGTACAATAATTGGATTTCTACAAAAACTGTTTACCAACATTATTAAACCATCTTATTTACAGGTTTTTATCTAAATCAACATCAGCTATAATAACTGCGAAACTTTATATTTGAATAAGTATTTTAGAAAATTTATCACAAACAATAATAATAAATGAGGTATTTTAATACATCATTGTTTTAAATAAGTATTTAATCTGTGGGTAAGGCTGAAGAACTAATTCCGTTTCTGAGTTGTCATTTCAATATTTACACGTAATTGTATAATAAAGTTAAGTTCATATTATAATTCTGAATGTACAAGATATACATGGAAACAAATTTCAATTGAAAAAATATAGTAATTTCATTTTTCTTGAATCAGGTGCGAAACTAGACCGGGTCCGGAATATTTACTACGAAAATACTACTTCTTTGTTAATGGTACATTTTTGTTGGAGCAATTTTACTATCTTGACGATTCCTGCACATTACCAGCTTTTTTCATCTCCGTAAGGGGATGCTTTACATTTACGCAACCATCATGGATTGTTCCAGGAGGAATGGAGGCAGAATATATTGTTAACCACATATATCTAGTGCCGTACAGTAATGACATGGCACATAACCTTCAACACAGAATCAACAGATCCTGTCCAGGTTTTGTGAGGAAGCCTTTGAGATCATACAAGAAATACCAAGTGTATAGCTATGGCGAGGGTGTTCACCACAGGAAAGGAAATGATGTCACAGAAGTGGTTGAAGATGTAAACTGCTTATCGTCTTTACACATTACTTTCAATGAGCTGCAGCTTATGCGTGTGGAACATAGGCGACCCTTTCATCATCGACACCGACCAAGAAACACGCGTATTGAACTCTTTCTAGGGGACATTCACACCCAATATCATAAGAGGGAGCAGTATCGCCCTACTAGCTACCAACAACCTCTTCTGAAAAACAAGGTGAGAGTAGCATTTCTATAGCAAATTAGCACGACTGTTAAATTTGGTACATATATTCAACGTGTTGAGTATACGTAGCCGTATTTAAAAAAGTTCTATAGTGGTAAAATATTAACTAATTTTGTTTCCTCAAGTATAAAGTGCAACCAACGTACTTTTCTGGTAAAGGTGTTTTTCGTATTCCAGTTGAAATAGGTGTCAGATGTAGAGCCAGACTAAAGCATTGCAGTTAAACTTCAGGGAATATGTAAAACAATAGTCCAAGGGATGTTGAAATGTGTCTTACTTTTATTAAAGTAGTACTTTAGCTTTTATTCACATTTTAAAATAATACTTGAGGAAAAATGTCTGCCCGAAACGTCGCTAAATTAAAGCTTTAAATTAGATGTGTTTTCTAGCATAGTTTATTCGTATTAAAGGTGATGATGGTGACAGTCGTTTTAAATAATAATAAAGATAATGAGTTTAAGTACTTTAAACACTCTTGAAATATATTTTGTTATTGTGCAACGCTTCGACCATAAGCCTGTTTTAGACATAAAATGTTTATAAACAGAGAATGTTAATTTATTTGTGTTTCTTCTTTTTATATGTTTTGCGGAATATTATGAACATAAAAAAATAAGTTATAAAGCACTGTTAAATCGCGACTTGCTTTACATCTAACCCATAACAAGGATTTGTTTTAGGGGCAGCAAAGTTATCACTAGAAAATTTTGCTGAAGAATGAAAACTGAGAGCGGGAAGAATTCGAATAATCTACTTTGTTTATTGTGCACGCATGATTTAACCAGAAAAGCTATCGCACATATAGCTGCTTAACCTCAAGTTTCTCGTTTCATCGATTAATAAGTTGGTTAGTTGTCCTAAGTAAGGTGCGTCTGGCAAATTGAAAGTATTGCAAAGGCAGTCCTCTCTCAACAGGTGAGACAAACAAGTATTGATAGCGCATACGATATAAAACTGGGATACTCCGCTTAAACCTGAAAAAAAAATATATTCTGATACATTATTTAAATACTTGTTTAGTTCATCATGTTTGTCAAATGAATTAAGAAGCTTGAAATTTTGAGTAAAGTTAAAAAAATAAACCATTTCAGAACAGCCTACACTTGAGTATAACGGGGGAAGGAAATTGACAAATAACGTTATTTAGAATGTTCTTGATAAGTTAACTATTCGTTGAAAGGCAATGTCTGATGCGATCCGTTTCTTGCTGGGGTAACTTTAATGTAATTATCATTCAGTAGCTTCGAATCCCCCAGTGGGTGAGCGATAAATCTAGAGACTTAGAACGCTAAAATTCGGGACTAATTTCCCTGTAGTGGACAGAGGGCAGATAGTCTATTGTGTAGCTTTGTGCTAAACCAAACAAATAATAAGTTCGATTAACAAGAATTCTCACCAGGATTACTGTGATATCAAATTCTCAGATACAAACCAGAGTATATGGGCTTGTGATAACTATTTAACTCAAACCTGCTATTTCTGTTCTAACGTATAATGTGAATGAGAGAGTTATTAATTGGTGAAAAAGAAATCAAAATTATTTTGAATGTATACAATTCAAAATTTGAACTAAAATGTATGTTAAAATCTCTTATCAGAGTTTTATTTCTTTTCGAAATCGGTGACAGTATCCCAGATCTCTTGAGTTTCTGTCTTATAATTATTAGTTTGTTCCGGGTATAGCGGTAGGTAAATAGATAGTTTCACCAAATGTCAAGTCTAGCACACCCAGGGCACAGCGGCATGTCTGCGGACTTGCAACGCTAGAATCCGGGTTTCGATACCCGTGGTGGGCAGAGCACAGATAGCCCATTGTGTAGCTTTGTGCTTAATTACAAACAAACAAACAAGTACACCTAGGAAACGGAATCCAAGGAGCAACTGTTTTTCAATCGTGAAAGCTCATGTACAGAAAGACAGTGATTTTGTCGTAGTCTATGGAATTTTGCAGGAATGTCAAATCATAATTTTACTTTGATGTGCTTGTGGGTTCATAGCTCAGATAAAAGAGATTAAGAACATACTAGTAGATCCTACTCAAAGTGTGAGATTTTTTTCAGATTCCATCAAAGATGCCCAGTGGTTAGCTTTCAGTACTGTTGATCGCATCCTACTACAATAAAAAGCAAAAAAAAAAGCCGTGCTTCACACTTCAGGGTCGTAGGCTCGTTATAACGGTGACGATCAAATCCCACTATTCGGACTGACAAGAGTTGGCGGTGAGTGGTGTTGACTAGCCTCCTTCACTCTAGTCTATCCCATCAAAATAGGGACAGCTAGTGCAAACAGTTCTTATAAAGCTTTGCGCGAAACCAAAGAAACAAACAAAACCTGCTAAGATAATCTCTGAAAAAATATAGGTCGCTATGATTTTAAAGATAAATTATTTCAATATACCTTGTTTCTGATATATTTTAAAGTATAATTCCATGTTTCATCCTACCTAAGTCATGTAAAACCCGAACAGTGCTCAAATATATCTGCTTTAGTTGTCATGGGGACATATGTATATGTACCTTATGCCAGACGTCTATTTATTACGCCAAGTTGGATGGAAGGAATATCACGATTACGCCGATAATGGCCTCTTTCAACAAATACATTTATCAGCGAAAAATGCAATCAATTCACCATTTTCAACTGAAGTGAATCATTTGAATAAAGAATATAAGACACGCTACAGAGAAAAGCTTTGGTTGATGGTTGTAAATTACCCATATTTGCTCAATTAAGCCAACGTTCAAGAATAGAAATGCTTGGAATTAACGTACCTGGTTCACGGTATACAGACATATATGATCGTCATTCAAATAAAGCTGACATCAGCTTACACTCGATAGACATATAACATAATAGATGTCAATAAATGTTGGTTTCGTCAAGGAAATTACTATATATGAATTTGACACCTGAGGTGAAAAATATTTCGTTATGAAAATATGAGTATTTTGTTTGTTTGTTGTTAAGCATAAAGCTACGCAATGAGTTATGTGTGCTGTGTTCACCACAGGCATCGAAACCCGGTTTTTAGCATATAGGTCCACAAACTTGCCGCTGTAGTACTGGAGAGGTTAAATTAGTGTAAGTACAACCAAGTCAAATCTCGCAAGGCCTAGTAGAATTTTACCCCAGACTCTGTGCTAGTCAATAAATAATGCTGTTAATAATATAACTAGTGCATGTTCTACCAGAGCTAGTTTCTAAGCAGTATACTGTAATATATTTACTAGTCAATGTACTTGTTCATAGCTTGCGATTATATGCTACCGCTGTTTGCTACTGCCATAATCAGGAGCCAGCCAAAACCCTTATCACGTGCAACTTTGACATATGTTGCATGAAACATTTCCATCATGAATGCATGTGTCTTTAAGTTATTGGGGAAAAAAATATTTCGGTGCAATAACCGCTTCAAAGGAAAGCAAATGATGAAAATTATATTCACAATTGCAAAAAAAGAAAACTTTTATACTGTACTTTTATGATAAGCAGCACGATTGTTTCACGAAACTGTTTACTTTTATATTACACTCTTCGGACTTAGAACTCTGGATACCGGGTTTCGATACTCGTGGTGGGCAGAGCACAGATAGCACATTGTGTAGCTTTGTGCTTAATTACCAACAAACTTTTATATTACACTCTTCGGACTTACAACTCTGGATACCGGGTTTCGATACTCGTGGTGGGCAGAGCACAGATAGCCCATTGTGTAGCTTTGTGCTTAATTACCAACAAACTTTTATATTACACTCTTCCACGTGAACTTGTTACATAAACGTTTCTATAATTTTGATACACATTTCATACCAACTATATAACTTTACCATCTTCGTGTGAAATTATTTTTATCCTTTATTTCACAATTTTATCACTTCTGAAGAAGTGTGTTATGTATATTTATTATTTATATTGATGAATTTAAAATTTATACATAGTAACAATCTCCTTAAAGAAGAAAAACGAGTTTTATATTCCTGATAAATTGTACTATATTATTATGTTTCAAGAAGTAAGCTTATAATATATCTAATATTATAATTTATTAACTTCAAACACATTCTACCAGTTTGAAATTCTCAAGGAGATGCTTCAGAAAGAAAAATATTTTATTATTTCTAATCATTGGCTTGATTATAACATGGAGAACTAGAAGTACAATGTAATAAGTATTATATTTACAAAGGAAACGTTTCATGATGATGAATAAACCTTACTATCGAAATATAGCTGCGATCCATTTATTGCGTCTATCTGGTTCAACTGAAGCTGCAGGTGTTCTTTAAAACGAAGCTTCTTGCAATTCGTCATCAGTGTTGTAGCAGGTAACCGCACAACAGGAATTTACCATGTTGTTTTGTTGTTGTTGTTTTCCTCTGGAAATGTTGTTAAATATCAGTATACTTCCATCCATTATGGCATCGAATTCTTTTAACTAAAATTGTGTGAAATCGCATATGTAAAGTTTATAAAGACGATGTAAATAAAGTCGAACGATATAAACATAACACAAAATTCTATAAAACATGCAACATGTACTGCAGGTAAAAGTGTTTATAGGTTTCTAATATTTCTACGAGTTACAAGTTTGTTAGCATGACTGAAATATTGTCATTTTAATGAACGTACTTTTATAGAACTGATTATGTATATATGTATGTACTTACACGTATGATACTTAAAATTAAAGGTTAAAATAAAAATAATAACCAAATAATGATTACATGAAAAACAACAACATAATTTTCGTTGGATAATGATGATAAAGTTTTTGACAGGAAAAATATCACACCCTTTTGTATAATAATTGGTAACATGACACAGTATTTATGCCGTATCAATTTGCTTACATCTTTTGCTGATGACAAAAACAGGAACCTAGGATATGAGTACTTCGCCTCCACAGAACACGTTTCTTTATAATTGGTTTGTAGTGTGAAATACATAGAGTATCATATGTACAGTTGCATTCAATCATAAAAAAAAACAGT